TGGGTATAAAAGGTTCGAAAAAATAACTACTGGCTACTTTTTTAACCACAACAGAAAGCTGCACTGGATCTGTTGGTAAAGAGGTTAAAGCGGATCTACTTTGCAACACATGGCTTTTCTTTTCCGCTGACAGGTTGGATGTAGTTTTTCACCTTATCATTAGGGACCTTGAGCATCGACAACGAACTGCACCGTGAAACGACTGGGTCGAGAACGTCGTTCGCGGCGGGAAAATTCGAGTATTAAGCGCTCGCTTGCTGTGGACGACGAGTTTCCCTTGTAAACAAAGGAAATGCAAATGATCGAAGTGTTCAAAACGTCTTTTCACGGTCTTCCCTAAACGTTCCGTAGCGCTTTGCCTGTGTTCCCCTCGAGCTGCTTCTTCTTCCTTTTCTTCGTTCTTTACCTCTGAGCTTTTTTTCGTCGGCCAGCTACTCCTGTCAATTAAATCTTCGAGAGCTTGGTCTAGTTCGGTCTTCCAGGGGCATTTTCCTCTTGGTGTATTTCCGCTTTATACTTGGTAATCAGCAAGGTCATTCTGTCTCTCATGGATCTTTTATTGACTTTGAATTTCGGATGATAAAGGCCACTCAGGTTGACAGCTATCTGGTTACATACATCTTCCCTTTCCTTGCTTCTATACGGATGTTGGCAGGGTTCCATAACTAACACTTCTCGGCATGGGACCAAGTCATGTTTGTCTGACCACCGCCATCTCCTTTACAAAGAAAAATGGAACCAAAGGATACTAATTTTTGGAGACAATTCACTACAGTTCTTAAACAAAACGGGCGGAACAGATTATGATTTAGCATCTTTTTGACCGGTAAACCTTTTTGCCCCGCGAAACTGTGCTAGAAAACACAAACAAGAAAGTTTCAATGCGACTCTCTGGTGCTTGTTTACGAGGCCGATATCAATCGATTTTCTGGTGTTTTTAGTACAAAAATACAAAGAACAAATACGTTGAAAGTTGAATACGCAATTGAGATGAAATTTCTTTCAGGAAAGTTGATTTAGGGGTAAAAATACGAGTAAATTTACTCACGTTCACTGCTGGACGCCAAACCACGGGTTTACACGTTGTCGATAGTATGCGGACGACGAGCCGAGCATGTGCAATAGCGTTCAACTCGCCTCAGCCACTTTCTGTAGGTTGTCGTCAATGCTTAAGGTCCCTATTAACTCGCCCTGTTATTAGTTAGACCCCATACTCGAAATCTTTAAGCCCATTTTCCATGATATAATTACTCCTTCTTAGCAGAAATGTACTGACTTTAGCGAGTCGCTTTGACAGATTTGCATGTTGTTTTTAGGTTGTGTTGTCTTGGGTATGGTCTTTCAAAAGAGTACTAAAGTGTGACGTCATAAAAATGAAATTTCTGAAATTATGGGGTTTGTCAGGATATTCTGAGAGAACAATGTTCAAGAGGCCTACTTGCCAAAAATGAGCATTTCGGGGCAAATTGTCTCTGAGATCGTAGTCCAGTTATGCTTAGAAAACTCCATACAAACCCTTCTAAATTTTTTTGGGTCGACCCAAAAAAGACTAGAAGGGTTTGTGTGGAGTTTTCTGAGTATAAGCGGTTCACGGTTCGCGCGAACTGCCGAAGGGTATTAAGCTGGGAACTCACTTAAGGAAAAGGCTGAAAAATGGCTACAGATTAAAGGCTTCATAACTAACCCAAATAGTGGCTTAGACTTCAACGTCAAATGTTGTGTAATTGAAGAAACTAGAAAGGAGCAGAATGGGCTCGGTCAAACGGGCTCATGATTAGAAGAGCGTTGCAAAGGTTCGATAGAGCTGCTGGAAATGACCATGTTAATCTTTGTCATCCTAGACGAGAACAAAATGGACAAACTGCTAAAAGAAACTGACGGCAACCGAAGACTGGCAAATCGGATCGTCCAACGAGTGTTCACACCACAAGACAAGTGTTTCATGATCAAAGGCCCAACCGTAAGATTTGTTGAAATTATTTTCCTTCTTTACAGGCTCTGTTTTATTAGTTATTTACAGTCTTCTGTTTTCATTTAGGCGTGGGAATCCCTTGGTATTGAAATTAAAGACTGTCTGTTAAGATATGAGGGAGCTGATTCTTGCGCGGAGTGCAAAGAAAAAGAAAAAACTGAGAAAATTCATGGAGCGAGGTATTTGATGCCTTTCACACGAGAAACACCGCGCATTGAGGTAAGGAAAGCGGTAAGATTGTGAAGATTTTGTTAATTAAAAACTTGGCCCATTATCCAACGAAAGACTTTAAACTTGATGGTCAATTTTGGAACAGTTACAACTTTCTCGATATTCAAGACAATGAGTAAATTTGAACAGGATAATCCTGTTCAAATTTTTTGGTCAATTTTGAACAGTAACAGCTTTCTCGATATTCAGGACAATGAGTAAATTTGAACAGGATAATTCTCTAAAAGTATCCGGCAAATTCGCAAAGAAATGATTTGTTTTAAAGAGAAACTCAGTAGGGTATAAGTCGCCAAATGTCAGTTCATGGGAGTCATTCATAATCTGTGACCTGACTGGAACAAGATGGCTGTTTACTGCGCTTTTCAAAAACACGCATATTCCGAAGTTCAAAAGCCAACTGGCGTTTACGTTTTTCGCAGTCGTCAATCATTTTCGCGGACCTCGTAGGAAACAAATGTTTAGTTCAACGGCTTCAAAAGGTCATGGTTGGTGATTTCTGATTGGTGGATTTCGATCCGTTTTGTGCGTTTCTGTGTTTCAAGGTTCGTTGCTTGTGATCGTAATTATGAGTGACGGCAGCGAAAAACGCAGTTGTGAAGGCGGCTTTTAAACTTTTGTGTTCGCGTGTTTTTGAAAAGCGCAATAAAGGTTTCCAGTTTTAGTTTACTTTTATTTTAATGTTACTGTTTACTTAACATGTTAAACAACACATTAACAGCAAAGAATTTTCTTTTCTTTCTTCAAAAGTGAGAGACAGCTCATGCTGTGTGGTTTACAAGACCAGAGTTTCTCATTTCAAGGTTAAAAATACACCGCTCAAAGTCGATCCCGCAAATATCCAAAAGGGTTTTAAAATAAAGAACATAATTTCCTGCTGTTTACAACATCGACAACATCTTGAATTTCAAAAAGCAACGCACGTATGCGCGTTCTGTTTTTGTCTAGGCGTTTCCCGCCCGGGACTAGGCAATAGCAGGCTTATGGTCGAGTAGCCTGAGATCATGCCCTCTCCCTATTATCCCTTTATGTCTCTCACGGGAAGAGGGCATGATACATTTCTTTGCCGGATCACATGTAAAAAAGCCAGAATCTGGACTTTTTTCTGATTGGATAGGAAACAATACGGATGATTTGCGCTGTTCCGATTGGCCAAAATGCCGCCATCCGTTAGTTGTTGTTGATTTCAGTCTGCATTTTTGCTTGCGTAATGAGCAGTGAATACACACGCAAGTTCGTTTTGAAATTTCTGTCGGCTCAGTTTTCTTGAATTTGAAGAATGCCTAAATTGAAGTTTCATCCATTGAAATATTTTCCATCTCATCGTATACTAAAAAGTTGCAGTCGAAACTTCACCGATCATTTGAATGCAATTTGATACCGGCTACAAGTTACAGAAGCGACAAACGGGTTCACTTTTCAAATAATCAATTCATGAATGGAATCTTGACCTGGTTTGACCGTAATTCCTCCCTCAGAAATCAGCGAATTATTCTGAGCGATCTTCGCTTTCACAATACCTTTCAGTTCGTGAAATATGGTGCTTCTGCCTAAATTTTTTTTCACTGCTTTCGACACACAACGAAGTCAACGAGCTTTAACTAGTAAATTCTTTGTTATTTGTAGCTGTTAAATAAAGGTACGGCAGCTCCAGCTAGCAATATTTCGTCCCAAAAACAACACATTTAAACTTTTTTTGGGAATCGAAGCGCCATCTGAACGTGGACGCACTAAAAAATTTTCTTTTCCCTAAAATTGATTTCAAAAGAGACATTATTCGCGCCAAAATTTGATTCCTGTATGGTAAACGCTTATTGGCTAATAACATGACAGGTCATGCAGACGTTAGATTATGTAAATTAGGGGGCGGTTGACGGCTTGTTAAATGAATGTATCAGGCGTTACTTTTTTCCCTCTCGAGCCAAAGAAGCAAAGAAGCCAAAAAAAAAAATAACGCCTGATCTCAGGTTAATGGTCGAGTGGCTTTCATTTTTTTTATTATTATTTTATAGCGTCAAAACATTCAAGAAACTTGCTCCTTAATATGATTAAAAGTGAACTCAGCTAAAATTGAGCTTATTTAACTTCAGGTGTTGATTCAAGAAATTGGTGAACGGTGCATTTTAGGCGTGGGTGCAGTGTTTAAATGTTACAACTGTCATCGAATGCCTGGAAAGGAGGGAGGAACAGTTGGCTATCGTGTGGAAGATGGGAAACTATTCAAGCCTGGCTGTGAAAAACTGGGGGAAGAAATTCCAGGTAATTGATTGGGTGATAACAGTCTCGTTCTCAGGCACTCTCTTGTCCCCGTCACCTAGAGTGAGAGAGTGAGAGACGGAAATGCAAGAGACCTGGACACATGGTTGGGTTGATAGGTAGTGTTGGAGGATTCTAAATTGCTGGATTTCAGTCTAAGTCACGGCCGCCATGCTGGAGGGCAAAAGCGTTTCCCCTTCACTATGAACTACGCTCTTTTGAATGCTAATTCTACCAATTCCAATTTTGTTTAGCTTTCATATCGGAAAAGGGCATTATAAAAGGCTATTTTATGTCAGAAACGTAAAGTAATAAATTCGTCTAGACGCATTCAAATTCTGAGACGAAAAAATTCTGAGAGAAATAGTCTGGTGTAAAAACGGGAAGCATAAAGGCAGACGACAACAGTTAAAAGGCGAGTTATTTGGAAAAAAGATAAACAGTGACTCTTCCCAGTCGTTTCTAGTCGAGTTGAGAATGAATACGTCCCACTTTACGGCGTCCCATTTTTATGCTAGACAAGTTTAATGTCTGAGACGTTAATATCATTTGTTAAGTGCGTCGTTCGGACGCATTTAGCAGAAGACGTGAAAGTCGTCAGATGTTAAATGCGTCTGTCTTATCTACCGCTTTTATGCTAGACGTTTAAGTCGTTTTAAGACCACTTTAACGTCTCCAGCATAAAAATGGCCTATGCTTGCAGGCTCCATTTCCCCGTCTCTCCACAATCCCTACGCAGTTTTTTGCGCAGCTTTTCTAAGTCGGCTCTTCCTACTACTTTGGAGCGTGGAACAGACTTAACCTCGCCTACAGACACAAAGACATATATAGAGATCTAGGAGCTATAACGTGACAGGTCACTTGACAAATTCTCAATATTTTGGTCGTTTTCAGACGCCATGGCCAGACGTGGTGATCTCATCGCCTGTGAGGTGAATTTCGATGGTGCAACCGATGACACCATTCCAGTTGTGTTCTTCTTGAACGGTAGAGAGATTGCACGTGCTTCGATGATGTGCACCGCTGGACAAGCGAGACCATTTCCTTACATTTCAATGGGGATAAAAGGGATTCAAGTTCTTGCCCAAGTACGTTAGTTTCCTTTATCGTCCTTCTTATATATCTTAACATTTCAAAGCTGATTTTTCTCGCTTAAAGATGAAATGTCTAAAATTTCATCATAATCTATCTGAGATTAGAAAACCTTTGTGTTCGTATTCTACTACAAGCCTGCATTCTGATTAGTCGAGGTACTCGCTAACGTAAACCCGGGTTAAATCAGCTCAGTCAGTAGAGTACGTGGTTGACTGCAGAGCGGGGGTTGGAGGTTCGATTCCTTGGGCCGGACCAATACTCAACCTTCGCGTGGACCGGATCACCGCGGCGGTCCCCGTCTGTAGTTGGAGAACATAGTGTGCCGAATGTACTTTCGTTCTAAGTACTTTGACACTCAAATAAAGAGCTTTTCTTTAGACATAGGTGCTGGATAGATTTACTAATTAATAATTAAAAGGCTGACTCTCCATTTCCATCGATTTTGAAAATTAACAACTAAAATTTAGTAAAAGAAGAGGACTATCGTCGAGTCATTCCGCTTTAGGCGAGAAATTCTCTATTTGACCCCACTGGGAAACAGTTGAGCCATAAATGAATAAAATCATAAATCATTTTTGTTAATTTAGATCTGTCCACGTGACAGTGGTGTGAGACAAGTATCAGTAGCAGCTCCTGCGGTGCCACTCACAAAGGTTTCCTGGTCAGAAAGCCACTCGTCCCTCATTGTACAAGAACAGTACATCAAGTTAAAGGAAGACATGGAGGCAATGAAAAGAGGCAGAAGAGCACAGGCCAAGGAGTTTCAAGAAAAACTCGATACTCAGTGGAAAATCTTGACCGAGATGTCGACACAAATTCAAAATCTCGTAATGATTTCTGGTCCGAAAGAGTCAGTGCAAGAAAGAGCTGATGGTGCTGTTTTTTTAGGCTCTGAGCAAAGCGTGGAAACTGAGTCTGTTTTGTGATTATTACAAAATCATTTTAGACAGTGCATGGTCTCACTAATGCTCGCCTTCTCTTCAAGTATTTTAAAACAAAACTTAACAAGTTAAAAGAGATTATCTTTACCCGTGTAAATGTAACGTAAACATGGCGGATGCCATAAGTCCTCATTTTCCAACAATTTACACAAAAGCCGAATTCTACCTGATTATTATAGGAAAACAAGCAGCTCTACCGAATTTTTAAACGACGGCGAGGCATTTTCAAAAGAGTTGTTTATGTTTAATTATTCAAAGTGAAATTTGAATTCCTACATGAAGGAAAAAAAACACTTTTAGCTTTTTTAAACAAAATTTTTTTACAGTGTTACGAACTCAACCGAAGCCTTCCACAAATAGGCCAGCCAATTCAATCACAGGTTGCATTCACAGCAAAGGAGTCTGGGCTTTGGTGACTATTAACCAATCAAATACGAGAACATTTTAGTTTTTAATTTTGAAAGTATTGGTGGCTTCGCGTAAACTCGTTGCACTGCAGCTGGTGAAATTATAAATCTGTATGTCGGTACCCATGACCGAAAGAAAATGTATAGCCTGCGTGGCAAGCGTTTCAAGGGTATGGGCAAAGGTAAGTGATACACAAGGCGCGCTACGTGAAGTCCTTTTTTCTACCGGTCAACCTTTGTCACTTCGCTTTTAGTTTATACGATATTACATCAGTTCAGATAAAAAGTGGATTTTACCATGTCCAGCAAGAAAACCACAATTAACTTTTAAGATTGTTAAGGGAAAGATCTCCAAAGTTCATTAACTTAGGGAAATAATAAAAAAATAATATTCTAAGGAGGGATTGAAGATGAGGCTCAAGACTAATTAGATTTTCTAAGCAAGAGATCAGTTTAGTCAATACCGTTTTGAACCACGTTTAATCTCATTACAAAGTTCAGTTAAAACAGAGAATATTTAGTGCGTAACAGAGTTAAAGGGCTGTAAAGTTCCTAACACCAAATCAGTATATGCACTATTGCGTTGTTTTCCGGTGTAAAGGCTACTATATTATTTTTTAAGGGCTAGGGCTAGTTTTGTTCGACGTGATGCCTCATTAACGACCTCCTACAGACTTGGCATAGGGAACACCTTAGGACAGAACTGAAAAAAACTATTTGTTTTCAACGCGAGTGAGTAATTTTATGTTGGTAAAACAGTGCTTTTCTGGTCTGTACAATATATATGCCTTCTTGACTCATATGACTATGTTCACTTCGATATTTGGTTTCAGAAATGGGATAAAATTGCGGTTTTGTTGAATAAAATGAAAAAACCTCGTTGAAATGACCTCTCGGCCGCGACGCTGTTGTCCGGCCTACTTGAGATTAGTGTACAGCCACTTACGTAATGGTTTGATGTTTGATGAACTACTTTTAAAAGCTTAAGGAACATCGGCTATTTTCTAAAAGGCGTTAGGATAATATAACTACGCCATTCCAATCAGGAGGTGCTTCCTACTCAACGTGGCTATTTATAACTGAGCGAGAATATAACCTTCCACAGAATAATTATTTCATAAGCACTAGACAACACGTCTGTGATACAACCAGTTGTTTATTCCTACAATAATGTTTTTTCTGCACTGGATTGTCACCCTCACTTTTGGTTTAACCCCCCAAAATGACTTTAAAAATCGAGAAAAAGACCTGTGTATTGTCTTAGTTTGTTGTTGTTGATGATGAATGCTGTTCATGACACAAACTATTGGAGGTGCAAATCAGCATAGGTCAGGTGTGCTGTGGTACGATAAGGAGGTTGTTCTGCGTCAGGGAGTCTTCAGACTCTTGTTCTTCCCGCAGCCTCGTTAGAAATGTAAGCTTTGCATTTATTATTTGTAACATTCATGTAATTTTCATTAACAGAAGAAATTAAAAGAAAAGAAAAGAAAGAAACGTACATCTGAGTTGAGACTTCCTGCTCCCAAGTACCCCTTAAGGGCGCAGTCGAATCTCCTTCGTATATCACAAAATTATCATTTTATGTTTTTAAGTGAACTTTAAAAGTTCGTTGCTCTTCACGTGACTTGAAAGTGTACATGTAGTTCTCTTAGGTTACTTCTCATTCCATTACCATGACCTTCGAAAAAGTATTTAACTGGGTAATTCTTGTGAAGAATTTAATCACAAATGACGTAGCTAAATAGTTAAGGCTGAGATATTAAACGAGTTTATTCAGTACATTCATTTCATGGTTTTTTCCAAGTCAAACGAAAAATATATTATTCTGCGCGCAACCTTTCGAAAACCTTTCGAAAAGACTTTCGTTCATACACTCAGAACAAAAAAGGAATCAGTTGTACAGTTCTTCTGATATAGAACACAAGGGCATTTATGCATGCGGTTTTCTCTTTCTAAAGTAAGCGACCCATTGAACAAAGGACTGGTAAACTGACATTTTGTTCTCCTCTTACTAAAAGTATTACAACTCTCTATTTAATGCCACACAAAAAATATACAAAGTAGGCTAATTAGGAAAGCCGAACGGCTACTATAATTTATTTTGCTTACCAAGGAAATATAGTCCAAAAGAGAAACAAACTACTGCTTGCATTCTGCCTTTTCTCGTAAAAATCCGTCTAGTTCTTATCTCAGCCGGCGCGGTTGCAAACCACGACGTTATATTATAAGGGATTGGGACCAGACGAGAAAAGACGGTCCGCGGACTCTTTTGTAGAAAACAAACCCTCCGTTAGCCCAGAAATGGAGTAACCGATTGGTCAATTTTACAACTGTTGACAGATCATTGACTGGTCTGTGGTGGAGATGCAAGCGATAAAAATAGTCACGCGTCACAACTAACTACGAACAATTACGAACCTGGCGTAATCGCTTGTAAACTAAAACGTTTAAGGATATCTTACGGAAAGAAACTGCAAGAAATTTCCTCAAGGGAAAGGAATTCAACAAGGTAATCTTACCGGATTTTAAAAAAATAAAATTTGACAGTTGTTTATGTTCTATTTATAAATCGTTTCAAGTTACTCGGGTTTAATTGGATAATTAATTAACGTTTACAGCTTCGATGTCCGCAGAAAGAACAAAAGAGTCAGCAGTCTCTTATTTTTTCTTCTTGGGCTTACGCCCTCGTTTATCGCGCGCCGCTCGCGTGCTTGGGTTTCGCGTGCAGTAACTTTGCAAAGAAAAATAAGAGACTGCTCACAGTCTAGAAACAAACCGACAATACGAAATATATGTCGTCGGACAAGTGAGATACATGTACAGGTTATAATTTTCTTACTATCAGCACTTTTTAAGTTCTAGTCTTCGCATTCATGCTTATAAAAATAAGTAATAAAACAGAAGTGCTTGCAACAGTTTTCCGAGAAACCAACCGTCGTTTAGGCCACGATCATTTTTACCAAAACCTGCTTTAAAACATCGTTCACGACCTAATTCAAAATGTGGATACAGTCTTCGGTAAAATTACAAACAAGCAGATCGCCATTCTTAGCAACAGCGACAGACCAAGGATCTTTCATTTCTTCAGCGACTGAGTTCAAGAATTTTCCATCCAAGGAAAAAATTTGAAGTCTACTCTTTTCGTTATCACATACAACTAGATTTTTGCGTTTGTCTATTACCAGGCCTTTAGGTCCCTTTAACTGCCCTTCACGAGATTCTTTGCTACCAATCTCATAAAGTAACTGTCCCTCTTCACTGAAAACTTTGACACAATGTGCTGAATGGTAGGAAAAAAATACATGCTTTGGTAATGTACAGCAAACCAAGGGGACTCATCACAATTGGGAGCTTTGATGCTCTCTATCAGCTTTGTGCCATCGGGAGAAAGAACCTTGATTGCATCATCACTCCAGTCACACACGAACAGTTTACCGTCACTTAAAACAGACACACTCGGTAGCTCAATCAAATGCCTACTAATATCAGTAATAAAATGACCAAGCTCAGTAAATAGGGACAGTCTACTTCGTTGCGATGATTCAACATCACACAATGTTAGCAGAAGATGTAATTGCCACTGATATCGGATTGCCTTTAATCTTCACATCAGTCCCCTTGTCTCCTATCGTCCTCGGAAATTTTCATTCAGAATCAGACAGCTGAACACGATGACTGAGGTCCTCGGCTACCAAAATATACCCACTCTTTTCATTCACTGCAATGCTACACGGATTGTGGAACACTCCTTGCCCTTTCCCACGTGATTTAAATGGTCGTAGACCTTTCTTCTGATGTGGACTCATTTGCAAACCACGAGGCCAAGTAGTCAGCGGCTTCTCACAACGGTCAACAACTACGTCATGTGCTGCACTCGCAGTGTTTGGCGTGTGTTGTGCTGTCTTGTCTCCATCTTTTGAATTCCTACACGGCTTGAGGAATACTTCATGTCCTTGCCCTAGTGCATGATTTAAATGATCGGAGACCTTTGTTCTGATGTAGACTCATTTGCAGACTCCGAGGCCGAGCAGTCAACGGCTTCCCGCAACGGTTAACCACAGCGTCATGTGCGGCGCAAGCAGTGTTTGGCGTGTGTTGTGTTCTCCATCGTTACAATAATTTGCCTCATTTTTGTTCCCCACTCCGCTTTCTGACCAACAAGTTATTGTAATGTGAACTTTTTCCTCCTGCTATTCGAAAAGCTCCTGTTCTTTGGACAAGAGCCGCGGTACAGTGAGGTTCCAATTCAACAGTACCCTGTGTCACAGAGTCTTTGTCTGCACGATAAGTAACACGCCTAGGTTTATAGATTTCCATTTCTTCGTCATGCAAACCTTTCTCAAAGCGAATTAAGTCAGCAGCACACTCTGTTTCCAGAATTCCAGGACCATTCATTCTTTTTAAGAAATCCTCGCCTTTTTCAATATATTTCCTTGTCTGGGTTGCGACCATTTTAAAGTTTCTTATCCTAGTCTCGTGCTCTCGTTGTTGTGCTTCACGAATCTCAGAAAATTTCATTTTCATGTCTCTTTTATGTGCGTTCAGAAGGCGAATCTTCTCTTCCACAATCTCAACCATGTCCTTTTCAGCAGAACAGATTTTTTCCTGGCTTTTCTGCATCAGATCAGTTTGTTCCTTCACCTTTGCCTCAACATAGACCGCTTTCTCTTTAAGTTTATCAACAACTTTAGCCATTTCATTTTGTCTCACAACAGGCACCTGCTGCACATCCTTTTTGTTGTGATGGTTAGAACTGAACTGTCCACATTTCTTACAAACTTTGCAATCTTCACAAAAGTACTCTACTGGCTCATTCTCGTGATTTCCCTCTCGACACGTGTTGCATCCAAGCAGGATCTTATCTGAAGACTTCAAGCTTTTCACTAAAAGTTCAATGCGCTTATATGTCAGTCAATTATCGCTTACTTTCTCATTATAACTTATACCTCCAAGGGAAAGCGCTAAGAACGTTCCGCATACAGACAGTAGTCATCTTCCTTCAGTATTTAGAAGACACTGTTAAGTCTGTTAAGAGGTGCAGTTCGTTAATAGATTGTGTTAACCGTTTTAGTGCCAATAGTGACCAAAAACAGTTTTCTCCTAACAATATCCATACATTGTCAATAGATAAAGTTATGATAATTAATTAAATGATCACCAAAGAGAAAATGCCATAATCATTTATCAAATTCTCTCAACTAATTCTTAAAGGAAATGTATGGAGATCAGTTTGGAGAATTTGTATATGGATATTGGGACTTAAGGTGATTCCCTAGTAAAAGAACCTAACATAGATTGTAGATGAAACTTGGTACACTGATGTAACAAGTCAAGAAGATGATAAAAAAGTAATAAAAAGTGGGGGTCACCGTGCTCGTTTTGACGTCACAATGCTGAGAAATACGGCTAATTTGGACCCTTTGTCAAAAACCGCGCGCAGCCCAAAACTAGACAAAAGCGAGAGATTTTTTCGATGATGCATGTGGTATCGCACATAATTTGACTTTATTGTATTGTTTATCCACTTACATACCAGAAAAATACCTTTTAATGCTCCTTTTTTTATTTTACGCTCCAAAGTAGAGTTGAATTGGACACGCGCTATTCGACCCGTGATAGCTCAATGTAGTAAAACTGCCAAAAAAGTGAACATAGATTTGTGCCAATTTTTTCCCCATCGAAAGGAAGCACTGTCCTTATTAAAATCATGAAATAAAAAATGGGGGTCACCGTACTCGTTTTTGCGGTAGAGCTGCAGAAAGTGCGCACCAAATGCATTTTCTCCGAGTTTTGAGAGAGGACTGGGGCGAGTTTCAAAATAGAATGTATGTGAAAGGGGGAAGAAAGTATTAAAAAATCTGTTTTTACAGAATTTACATCGAGATATCACATTTAGGACACAATATGATAAAGAAAGCGTTAAAATGAAAATCAAAGTACGTAAGCACAAGTTAAACATCCACTATCGAGGTTCTCCGTGAGGAAGTCGAACTCAGCAACAAGCGTACTGCCTACGTTTAAATGCACATTCCCAACACATTGAGTCTCACCTCGGCAAGAAACCACCGCAAGCAAATATTCCAATAGCGTTTCTCTTCAGTCAACTTCATTTTAATAATGTTACTTCACATGCTCTTTTTTACGGCGGCCATCTTGTTATGCGCAGTAAGAGATGCGCAGTGCAAAACCAGGGAATCACCTTAAGGGAGCATCAGGGGTGGTTTTTGGGGAAATGATGTTGATTTGGGAAGGAAGTAAATTAGGTTAGAAAAGGTATACACATAAACCAGTTAGTCCGCTAATGAGATCAGAGGCACCTTGTTGGGGTTGTGGACTATCTGGTAATTGTCTACTAATTATTCAGTTCATATTTTAATTTTTGAACCCCCAAATCCAATATTTTCCGATTTTCTCAAAATTTTAAACATCTTCCCTTCCCCCCTTGAAATTTACATTGAAAACATCCGAAAAATCATCCAAAAATTCGCAAATAATTATTGAATTAAGGACTGTAACTTAATTGAGTCATTTTTAGATTGTGTGATATATAAACGGTACAAATGGTCCTTTAGGGAGGTTCAAGCATGAACCGTTTTTAAGGTTAATCTAAACTAAAAGAAAAATACCCAGATATTTCTTTTTCAGTCATGTATCCCTTACGTACCTCATGATCAAAATTTATATGAACGGTCAGAGAGGCCAAGGGTGAAAGGAATCATAACCTCTTGAAGACTGTGCGTTTTATACCATTAACACACTCCAACAACAGAGAATAACGCGACAGAGAGAGAATCTTAGAGCGTTGGCCGGGATACGTGAATTTCACTTAGGTTATTTTTAGAGGTTGTAATTAAAAGGAAGTATAATTGCTGAAACGTCCGCACGTTTTGATCGATTGTTTGAGGCTTCATCTATTCCAAGTGCGACTCCCTCAAAGCGATTGAATGCAGAATATTGTGATGGCGACACATGTTGGGAACAAATCTAATTTAAACATCGGATATGAAAATTATCCGAAAACTGTTACGTCTTTTAGACAGGGACCTAGCACTAGTCACGTCACCCCCTTTTTTCCCATGTTACTAGCGGGTTGTTCAGCGAGCGTTAAGGCGTTGTCTTATTGCAGAGAGAGCACAGAACTTTTTTCATCGTTCGAGTTGAAAACTTCTGTATTTATCCCCAACAACACACCAAGAGAGCATAATGATCCATTATTTCCTTTTTATAACACTAAATAAGGGCTTGTGGACCTCTCCGGGAACCAACTTCCGATTAATTTCAATCGTTTAACTGGTCTAAAAATAACTTTCAGTTGGTGAAATTCACAAATCGCAAGGGCTAGACTGGGCGTTTCGCTCTCTGATCCATTATTCTCTCTTGTCTCCAATCAACAAACCAGCTTTCAGAATTTCGCACAGAGTGATGTGTTTTAATAGCAAGTTAACTTACTTTCAGTAGTGATTTTATCCAGCTTTTTCATGACTTCCTCTAACTGATCTTTCACGTTGTCCTCGTCTTTCTTCCACTGTTCCAACAGCTCAATGTAATGTTGTTTAGTCTCAGGATCCATACATTCTGTCGCAAGACGGTCGATAGCAGTTCTGTACTGAAGTCCTCCCAGACACACCAGAGATTTCCGAATATCCCGCCAGTGGCTATTAAATGTTGTGTCATCAACCGAAGCGTGTCGAGCGTGCGCGTACACCGTGTTTCTAAAGAATTTTATTCGAGCAATATCGGCTTCACGGCTCAAGTCTGCTGCGGTAGGCAAAGCATCCCAACCTGTGGCAGGTGCAGTCAGACCACAGATATTCCTTAACAAGACCATCAGCAGAGTAATGTCGAATGATGACGACGAAACGGAAAAAGGGATAGTAGGAAATAGCTTTCCCCATTGTGTTGGATTAATAATCTTTTTGCCCCTCAGTGACCGCAGCACAGTTTTGTTTCCCGCCAAAACAGCATGCAGGGTTGCTGGTGGGTGTATGGAATCAAAAGTGTCCTTAAGGGCCCTGGTACCAAGCTCCACCAAGAGTCGACAAAGCCGCGCATAATTCGTAGTTTCCTTGGTGGATGGAGCTGCTGGTGTTGCACAAGCCATCAATGATAGTTCCTTTGTGATAAAATTTTAAGATTAAGATTATTACTACTTTTTGTACTGGTCAGCATACGTTTCGACAGTTCACTATTTTCACATTACCCATAATGCCCATAATACCCTCCAAAATTTTGCAAAACCAATGTCTTCAATTTCTCATGGGACGACTGTGATACCCAGGAGAAATTGGAAAAAGTGGTTGTGCAAAATTGTGGGCCGGCGGTAAACAAGGTGTATTGGGGGAAAGGTGAAATAGCCAAAATCATCATCTACTAAAAACTGCAGGAGGTTTATTCAAAACCTGCTCAGCCTGAGATTTATTCGTGCTGGCTTCAATTATGTACCTATACCTTTTAAAGTGTGCAAGAAATGATCATTCATTAAATGAATATTTAAGTCTCAATAAAACAATTTACACTTTACATGGTTTATCGATTATTACTACTTTCTTTTGATCTTTATAGATAAATGTATCTTCCGTTCTGGTTTGGCTTCCCTCAGAAGGTGTGTTGTAATTGGAATCCCTCAGAAGGACTTTGGCATCCCTCAGAAAGAGATGTCTTTTGCCTGAGATATTGATCCAAAAGTAAGTAACCAGGAAAATACAAGTTAATATCACTTTTAAGTCTATTCCCACTGCTTATTTTCTGCATGTTACTTACAGTTACTATACGCACCACTGAGTGCAAGTACATGCAAGTAGACCACTTGACAATTCATTATAATGTATTAGTCAAGACTGTCATTAAGAGGCGGTAGCTTTCAGAGGAAAATAGAAGAAATATAGAGCCAAGAGAAATTCCTAGCTGTTTTATTCCCCACCTACTTGTTGTATTTACCCGGCAACTTGAAATCTTAGTGACAACCCTGATTAGTGCTGGTGTTGGAGAGTAGTTTTGAACAATTGTCCGAATATTCAGTAATGTATAATTATGCAAGGCTCAAAAGGTTCGTTTATGAAATGGTTTGGAATTCCTCAGTTTGTTAAAAATGAGGAATCTGTTGAAACTGAAAGCATATAAGTGGAGCATGAACCTTATGTGCTGATCAATCGAAAACTTCAACATCCCACCACCTCCTGACAAACCCTGGGTATTTGACACATTTGTGCTAACTTGTGAATTTGATCCTTGCTTGAGTGTGTCACATGTCAATTTTGCGTTTTTTACGTTGTGATCCTCTGACTGGCAACGTAGATGGAGGAGTTTAAAGGTGAAGGCACATCTTTTGTAAAGGAATGACTTGTGCAACAAGGACTTCACAAGCTAAAAGTATGCATTTTAAAGATATTATTAATATTAAAAAGGGTCTGACGATGTCAAAAATTATGAAATGGGAAAGCCATCTAAGCCAGCATAACCTTTGTTTATAAAATTACAATAGTTCTGTTTGAATGCCGTTAATACGGGTGTTAGAATAAATGAAATGTAATTTTTTAGAGCAAAAACAAAGACATATTAAAAGCATCATCGTAAACTAGAAGGACCAGGTAGTCATACTAATAATTATATTTTTTGATTATCATTAGGAATCAAAATTTTTGTAACCTGTACACCGTCTTACATTGGCTGCATACTTTTAATATTTATTATAGGATGTGATGAATAATGTGTTTCTGGAGTTCGAATGAGTTCGACCCAAAAAATGGTAAGATTGTTGCAACGGCCATTTTGTAGAAATAGATTTTCAGTCACATATCTGTGAATCAAATAAAGCAACATTTCATGCACTAGAGATGGCATTAATGATGGGGACATGCCTATGTTTTAATTCTAGTTAAGTGGTGTGATGTGTCTCAGGAACTGATTGTGGAAGTATCAAATTACATCAAGAAGTTGAGCGGCCACAACAGACAAGCACCCACGACGAATGTTATGAAAACTGCTTGTAAAAGATTTTATAGATAGCAACAACAACTGAAGATCAGGATAAGAGAAGGAGTTGGCAATTTCAAAATCCCCGCAACCGGTTAACATAACGTTCGGTTTATAGCAAAATTCTTTTAGTTGCTTTTTACAATCAAAAACGTCAAGGCGCTTTATTTTTAAATGCACACTGGTACCTCTTTTTAGACGAGTTTGAGGTCCGTACTGTAATTAATGGGCCAAAAATCAATGGGAAAAAACAAGGGGATCGGTATTTCTCTAAATTTACTGTATAGAAGTAAGCTCTGAGGAAGCGGTTTTGGCAGTCATTTGACAGGCGTCATAAAATTAAGTCTTTGTTGGCTCGACACGAAAACAATCGCAAAACATAAAATCAATATGGAAGGAAAGTTAGCAAGGTAGTCAAGGCGAGAACTTGGGTCAGAACTGGCGTTAAATATATGGGGTTGCTCTTAGGTAAGATTTTCGTTTTGGAAAACGATAGAATATTTCATTTAACAACTTAATACTCTTTGAAATTGAGTTGATTGGTGGCAGAACATTTTTAAAGCTACCACATGAAACTGGTCAAATGTGCACGTTAATTTTTGGTATAGTCCATATTATATGTTGTCTTGAGCCTAGGCCAAACGTCAAACGTTTCATGTGAAGAACCCAACGTTGAATCAAAAAAAGAGAGTTAAGTCCATGAAAAGTTCGACGTCTGGCTCAGTTAAGTTGGTCTGAATAAGTTTGGATCGTCCAACGCATTCTATCCGTCTGCTACAGACGGATAGAACGTCTGAAAATCATCTCCGGGGCAATCATCGACCTTCACATGCAACACTTGGGAGTCCGAAAATATTGATTTTTAACGAATTCTTTGCGCCCTACGCTAAGTACGCGTTATATTTTTGTTGTACTGCGACTGTGTTTAAATTGAGATCAGGCTCTATTTTCGTTTCCCACTTTAGCAACAAAATAATTGAGGTAGGCAATTAGGGCGAAACGACCTTTCATTAATGGAGAGAATACATAAAAAGTTCAAAAATTTAACCTGATCTCACTCATGTTCAAGTGCTTCAATCTTGTAAATACCCTGAATTTCAGACGATTACTTCAAGCCGTTTTCTCCTCTCAGCAATTGTCTGAATAGACCGGCCATTAATATCAATGCCATCCAACGACGTCACTACCCGAAAACCGGGCAGTGATTTTGATTGGTTGATTGTCTAACTATGAGAAATTTTAGCAGGATTGTTGTTTGATATCAAGCAGATCGCATCCTTGGCATGCTTGCGTGTTGTTCAAACATTTCGACAATCTGTATGATAAACCGCAAAATCACCCTTGTCCTCGAAATTGAATTGTTAAATTGAGCTACGAATGAAGAATAATGACAGAGCGAGAGTCGGTAGGTTTTTCATTAAGAGCCGCTTTGTGGTTTCGGTAGTGACTTTGTTTGTGCAACGTTTTCTAAGATTTTAGTTATAATTCGACCTTCTTGTCATTTCGACGGTCAAGTGTAATGATTCTGTTAACTTTTCTTTCCTTCTTTTTCGTTAAGGACCAAATAGCTTGTTTTCAATTAAAGCAAACTGTTGTATTTTTGAAGTGTTCTGTGTGTGTATTTAACATGATTTCAGCTTATTTCATTTTTATTGAATTAATTACAACAGATCATTGACAGATTGGTTCAGAGTACCACATACAGTTGACACTTTAAACATTAAACATGAATTACAATCGAAAGGAGTAAAGCAGTTCGGTATCATGTAGACAATTAAATTCTTTGTTTGCCAATTGCAAATCGTGTTTTATTTTTTGCATGAATTTAAGCAAAGGAGTAGTGGCGTCACCGGATGGCATAAACCACCAGTCTATTCAGACGTTACTGAGGGAGTAAAAAACGACTCGAAGTAATCTCGTATATTGTGCTGACCTGAAAGACACTGTGTGAATGACATCATGATTCAAGAGAATATAACCACGGCAATACGATATTCTTAGAGGCAAAGAAAATCAGCTTCAAAAGTTGGGGCAGGCATACTAGAAAGTGTAATTTTGGTTTAAAAGAGACACAAAAGTCAAATTTTGCTTTCCCTCCTCCCTTATATTTTTTGCTTTTATTGCTACCCTTTTTTTTCTTTCAATGGGCACTGTTACTGGCTTTATTTGGGTAGGAAAAAGTTTTTGAGAAAGTTTTTCGGATATAGAAGAGACTGATTGGGTTAAGTGGAACACATTTATCATTGAATGATCTCAATTCCCTTTGCACAAGTTTGGTGACAAAGTTGTCTTTGAAAATAACATTGATTTACATGCATAGGCAATAGGCCATTTTACAGTTATGGATGGAAGCGAGGTTGACGGTGACCTTGTTTTGATACAAACCTTCATGCTTTATTATGTAAATCAAGTTATTCTTATGCTAACTTGTAGTTTCCAAGAACAATTTCCATAACAAAGCAAAGAAGGTTTGTATCAAAGCAAGGTCAACCTCAGCCTCACATTCACTCGAAGGCTAGGGTACTAAGTCCACAACTGTAAAATGGTCTATTGCACAATTCATGGGAGAATGGAATGAAAACAGTGCAGTGGTAATAAACCTATTAAAATACAATGAATGATGAAATTTATGCCAAAGAAAATGATCTGTTAAATACACACTTATGAGAAGAGAAGTGATAGTAGTTAAAGACGTTTACTAGCTTGTGGTTGTTACCGCAGACGTGGTTGTTTCGCCAATGTATTGTAGGTCAGTCGTATGACAACGTATGTTAGAGCATGGAAATCAAGTCTAGCCATATGCATGTGATATTGCTCCAGAGAACGCTTTCTTTAAAGTTTTGTATAAGTCAGATGCATTATTTTTGTAAATACGATTTATAAACTTAAGGTTATGATGGGTAAATTGCTATGAGAACACCTCTTCATTTACACTGGGGGAAAGTAAAACGCAAGCTAAAAGGACTTTACTGTCCCTCCTTAAGATGTAGTACCACCGTCTTATTCATTCTAAAAACTACAATCCTGGACTGAAAGTCTTTGAGACAATTATTTAGTATCTGTAATTTTTCTGTCATTTCTTTGTGCCCCCATAAAAAATGTGCTTCCCTTTTGAAAAATCAGATACAC